TTAATTAAGTAATCTTTAATCATCATCTCCCATGAGAATATTACACCTCCCACAGTCGTCTTATTGAGTACAGGAAAGCAATGAAACTTGTTTACTACTTTCGTAAGAGAAATAAATCCGTTAACGCCTTCAATTTCTCGTTCATCAGTTCTAAGAAGGCTAACTACTTTCGTATACAAGCGGCAGGAAGTGCGGCGATATTTAGATAATGATGCCAGCGTTTTCTTATCAGTCGCGTAACCGGGTTAAAAAATACTACATTGCTGCGGCTTCACCGGAAACGATTTCGGTTTATCGTTTCATAGACACGACTGAATATATTATAATAAAATATATAAATTCGTCGTCTACACAGTCAGCAAAATAAACGCAATGGTTCTCTATGTACAACAATATACGATTTAATAATATTTTTTAATCCTTCACTACTTTTAGTATGGCACACTGGAAGTATTTCTTTTATTCTTCGCTATGCTATAATTTTTTTATTAACAAAGATACGTACATTTGCTCGTTACCGATATATTCCTTGATGTCTAGCATTTTGATTGAGAAAAATTTATTATACATACAATAGGATGTTTATTTTTACGCGATATTTTTTACAATATGTGATGACAAAACGATATAGAATGACACCGAAAAGTTAATAATTGAAAAATTCAACAAATAAACTGTTACGACATCGAGAGATTCTTTGATACAGGAGAAACTCCTATGAATTGATAAGTGGTCTAATTCTTAGCCCGAGCCGACATTGCACTAAATTTGGGTATGCTTATCTTCGGCTAATATCGCCTCATCGAGTATTCGAGAAATAACGAGAACTCATCGAACGAATCACGAAGCAAAGATCAATGAGACGGATGTATAATATGAACCTGGGTTCCTCTTTCCCATTCACGAGGAATATACGCGGTTCTCCGAGAATGCCGAACAGAGGTCGGCTGGGGTTAATGCCTGCGTACCCCCTCACATGCATCCGCTTTTCTCTTGGTTGTATCTCATTTGTAAAGATTCCGGGACAAAGGAGCAAGAACGATCGTCTTTATGGATCTGGCGTAGCGTTTGACCCCCCCCCCCTCCCCCCTTCCAGTGTCCAAAGAGGCATCGTCGGATGTACGGACAGACAGAAGCGCGAGTCTGTCAAGTACCGCGATTCTAATCTGACAGGGACGTATTGGGCCCCGCTGACCACTGGCGGGGTCCGATCGGTCGTCGTATTATATATACCTTGACTATTATTAATCCTAACCGACCAGCATGGATTTCCATACATTCCCGAGCGCCGAAACGCGGTCGATTTCGACATTTCATCATTAAATCCGAACGTACACGTCGGAGATCCGCTCGAAAGGAAAGCAGATCTGACGATATATTCGACAACGACTAAATTATGCATATATCTTTCTTTGATTAGTTATTTTAAAGCTCTCTCTCGTATGAGAGAACTGCTTGTAAAAAGAACCTTGACACGAAACATTTTTCTTCATGTAAACATGAGCGAACAAAAACGAAATTAATGGTACTGCCACATGTAGTTGAATATGATAAAAAGTATACGGTATTCTCATCTATTTTTCAAGATAAATTATGATTTAGCAACGTTGCGCGCGGAACTGCGCTAATCATTAGTCATGTAACTTGCAAGTTTTAACGACTTTGTTTATTTCGGAGTTAATAATGACTGAGCATTTATATCCCGAATCTTAAGGAAACCTTATTGGGTCAAGACAGTATCGATACACCTAATCGTCATAGCGTTAAAGAGAGCCATTTCTTCTCGTGGACACGAGGGTATAACGGAAGTCTAGTCGAAAGTGACTATCGTCGATTATTCGTCATGTCAGTCCTTCCACTCTGCTGTAGCTTGTACGTTAATGTTACCTATTACTTATCAGGCATCCCTTTTGACAGCGACGTTCGAATTTCGATGTTCCCTCGGATATCTTTGGTTTTCGACCTTTGAATTTCGACGACAAAAATACTTAATTATAATTCCGCGAAGAATTTTAAAGTTTATTTACTTTTATTTCAAATACGAAAATATAAATTTTTTTTTTGCTTTCGATTCAAACTTAGAAACTCTCTCTTACTGTTATCGAAATGATAATTTATCGCAGAAGATAATTATATCACAATCATTATCATTATTATTATTATTGTTATTACTGTCATTAGATGATTGTATATGTGAGATGTTCGATCCTTTGGAGCTGATGCCAAAATTTTTAACACATTTACTGACTTATATTTATATTTACCTATTTAATTCATATTAATTAAAAGGCGTTAATTAATCAAGGAATCAAAATGGCGTAACTCGTAAAAAGGAACAAATATTATTAGGTGTTGGAATTAATTCGTAGCGTTTTTAATGAAAGAATGTTATTTATTTCACATGAGCATTAAAAAATACATTAATGAAAGTACTTCCCATCACATTAAAAACGCTACGAATTAATTCCAACACCTAATAAATCGATTGATTTTAATAGGAATAATCCAAATTTGCAAATATAACGTAAAGAAAATTGAATTGTTCTACACTTTTGAGACAAAGAGATTTATTATTAAGTGGGCCTAATAATTACATGTTTTTAAATTATATTATATATATTCTCAAGATGCCGGAAAACGGACTCGTTATTTAAGAGTTGCGTTTAGTTTTCTGAAAAAAAATCCGATATTCCCTATAAGCAATGTAATAAAATGGTACGAAAAGGAACGCGGAGACAGTACGTACTTTTGCGTGGACAGCGATAGTAGGGTTAAATGAAGTATGACGCGCGTTAACCGACACCACTCGCGATCAGCGTAACACACGCAACACACGCAACGCGTTTACGGTATAACGTAGGCGTGGCTGGCTTGATATCAACGATGGCCACCTTTCGACTGTAAATCAATCGATATCTCGCCTGCAGGAGGGGCTTTTCATGGGGCTTGTACGATGCCTGAAACGAGCCGGGGGTGGAAGCATGCGCCAAATGCTGAATGCGAATCGACCCGCCCCGCCGCTTTCATCCGCATAGAAATCGTCTCGACCATCATTTTCGCTTTTCTTTGCGACGTGCTGAAATTTATAAAAAGATCCGTTTTTCTACCTTTATTTTATTTTCGCTACGAATTATTCATATAACAAATTAGGATGCAGAATCTGTAAAAATTTACATCATAAACTGTAAATTCTACCTGTAATCATTATTTTCTTACGTTACTATGAATGAAATAATAAAATTCTGAGAATCAATTATTTTGAAGTTTATTATAATTTTAATAGAAAAATAGTTTTATATAAAAAAATTTGCAAGTATATTAATTTTCTAATTATGTTTCTTCTATTATAAATAATTTTTAGATTTAAAAATTTTTTAAAAATTGTGGAATTTTTTTTTATCTAATAAATTTGGTAAGTTTAATATTATTCAAATATGTAATTTATTTCTCTCTCTCTCTCTCTCTGTCTTTCTCTCTCGCTTCAGTGACGTAATAACTTATTTACCTGTTATGGCCATTGATCGTGACATATCTCGCGGATGACATGTCGCCATGTCATAATTCATTAATCAGGTTTTTCGATTCCATACACAGCTGTTGACGTCTGTCACAGGTTATATACTTTACCGAACAAACATTCACGTGACTGGGAGAGAGGTAGGTGTCGACGAAATAAATCATTGCTCATTGGCTTGATAATGGGAATATTTAATTCGAATTTAAATAATCTTACAAGTATCAGTTGTCGCGTGATCGTTCGTATGCGCTCGCTACGCTTCATATATCATACGTAAATAAATAGCTAAGTTACATTTTAAACAGTCTATCGGGACAACGCCGTCGCTAAATGGTAAATTATGTACAAGTCGCTCCGCGCGAAATTACATATACAACACACCTATACATAGTTCGTCTCTATTTACTTCTCTCTCTATTATGTATAATCTTCTATTGCACGTCGCAATCACTCCAGTGTTTCGCGATATATAATATCTTACATTTTTACAATAAATTAACGAAAACTCTTATTCCCCCGACTTTTATTCGTCCAATCCCGATTCTTCATCGTCACCAGACGATTCTCTAAAATTTCGTGTAAACAATCTTACCGAAAAAATTGGAAAAAATGGCACTTGTTAATCTCCTCCATAACAAACTATAACCGCTGCATGCCATCGCACGATACATTAATCTGATTATTCGAGTGTATTTTATTTCTTCAACAAATTCGATCAATTTTGCGAGAAAAGTTTATCTAATAATATAAATATTCTCTTATTAAAAAAAAATTCACTTCTTTTTCTTCCAATAATATGAAATATTATTAACTAATTCTTTTTTTCTCTTATTTTTTTTTGCACGGCAATATTTTATACATCTCAGGAAATTCGTTTGTTTTCTGAGACATCTTGTATCGCCGATTACTTTTCTCCTACAAAATCTGATCCAATTGTACATACTACTGTCTAGAAACGTAGTATTTATTTCATCTCTTCCCAAAGCGATGGCAAGGAACGGTAATCGTAACTTATTCGCATATCCATTTCAGTAGAACTAATTTCCTGCTCACGATTATTTTAAACGAGAGCAAGCGATATTTACCAAACTGTTGTTCTATCGGAAGCTCTAATTATAAGACAAGAATTCTTCGAGTTGACTCTGTCTAATGAGTTGTACTAATACGTCTAGCGAAATAAATACTCCAGTCTTTTATTTTAAGGAAGAGAAATGACAGACCGTGTCGACTTTGGTCCGCTCTACAAGTTTTTTTTAATTAGCTTTTTTTTGGCCTGATATAACTCTCTTTAAAGTAATACGTTATATATTTATTTACTTTTTAAATAATATATAAAGATTTACATCGCGCTTTGGTTGATTTACTTTCAAAAACCTGCAAAATTAACAAAGTATTTTTTCATAATATTTTAATTTTTTTGCAGAAGAAAAATTATCAGTTCCAAAAAGGATTGTTTCATGAAATTTTTACAACAAATGTTTTCCGTATTGGAAGAATTTTTCACGCTAATCTGATATCTCCAGGTTTCATTTATTCTTTAAAATTTCTCTAAAAAAATCTTGCACAAAGAATTAAAATCGAATAGAAGATTCGACTTTCGCTTGTGGCTCCTTTGAGGTCAGAAACGAAATTCAGGGGATCAAAGTTGCAACGTTAGATTTTTCCGAGCGTTTAAGTTTGCAATCGTCATTTCGCTTGAAGTTCCGCGGCCTGTTCCTCTTCCTCTTTAGTAAGCGGTACTGTCGAATGATTATAGAGCCCCTGTGCCATTAGCTGAAGAGCCAGAGGATTTTTCTGGCCGCTGGCTTTCTTGATTTTCGCTCGCTTGTTCTGGAACCAGATCTTGATTTGCGCCTCGTTCAGACCTAAATCCCTCGAGAGTTGCTGTCTCCGTCTTTCCGTCAGGTATCGGTTCTCCGCGAATTCCCTTTTCAGTCTCGCTAATTGTTCACCACTGAACGCGGTCCTGGGACGTTTCTCTTCAGGGGTTCCACCGCCGCGTCCGTCTGTCCTCTTCACTCTTCTCGTACGTGGACCTGAAACACGAGATGGTTCTAGCGTTAACTCGTATCTGTCAATATGTCCGTCCAATGACATCTCTTGACAATGCGTACAAAAGTATCATGTTGAAACAACATAAAGAAGATAACTTCGACGAACTTATTCATTTTCACAAAAACATATATAAATATAAGTAATCAATATTGTTTTCTGTTATAAAGATAGATATATCATAAATAAGCAATTACGTATCTTCGTTCAGATTAAATTTTCTCGAAACGATATTCTTTTCCCTCATAAAGTTGTCATTTTTTTTTCAACGCTAGTTTCTCAATCGCTGCTGCTGTTGCGTTAAGGAATAGAATCTCACAGATGACTATACACAAAACATCAGGTTTTAAACAATGCTTCGCAATGCGGCTTTACAAGCAGACATTGATTCAGCAAGTTTACACGCCGATAAATCTGAAAAATTAACGAACCACCGGTCGGCAAGTTTTACGGCAACTTTTATTGTAGGCTTGTCTTAAGTGTTTTTCTCTCCGGTGCGCTAAGGTCTAAGTCCGGTTATGCGAGTGTGTGTCTTCTATAACAAGCTAGTTACTTGGGAGGAGCCGCGCGAGGTCGGAAAGTTCGTCGATGGAATAAACGTCCGACTGAAAGGATCGTCTTGCCGACGAAGTAAATCCTTCCGTCTCGATCCTACTTGCCTTATCACGCTTGCGGACTCGTTCGCGCGAAATCACCGTGACGTCGGACGGACCAGGCAGAGCGGTGGCTTTATCATAAATCAAACGCATTATTATTGCAGCCATGTTGCGCATCTTATGCCGACGCAACGTCACTATTCGCGCGTTTACGTTGCGTCAGCGCAAGCGCTTGGGATCCGATCAACTTCGTACGAGATTTCGACAAAGAAGTCCCAAGGTAAGTCTTGTCGAGATTGAGATAATTAATATACAGAATAAGGGGAAAATATTGAATAATGCAACATGTATATTCAACTATTTTTATACGAAAGATGATTTGAATTTTTTAATATAAAGAACTATTCTGAATTCGGTGATATTTGAAATGCTTGTTACAATAGAGAGCTAACCTTAATTTTGTAAAAATCTCTAGGACATATAAAGTGCTCCGTCATTTATTTATTTTTTAGAAATCCTATAATAAGAATTTGACAAAAACATTTGCTTTTTTTTCTCTCTTACAGCTATCCCTTTTCTTTTCCTTTCACTTTCACTTTCCGAAAATCTACAAAGCTATTCGTATACGGAGAATTAATCAAAACACTATATATTTATTTCTACTTTAATCAGACTGTTATTACAGGATCTCTTTATTTTTATCAATATCACATGTTTTGTTTACGGTTATTGGATAGCCCATTGTTGTAGTAAATCCTTCGTTTAATTGGCAAAAGTGAAATTCTTTAGAGCTCGTTTAACTTGAACTTTCATGCATGTTATCATAAGAAGGTGCGCGTTGCTTCGCCAAATAAGGGCCGCGCGAAGCGCACGATCCTGGACACAACTCGATTTTCCCAGCGTGACTACTTCCTCTCGTGTGATTCCCGCATGTAATTCCCAACTAATAATTCACAGGATAAACACTGTATGCGACGCGGCACGAACGCATCGCGTTTATACGGCACGCACCACCGGTTATATAATTGCGTATAAATCAAATCATAACGATCAACACTAACGTTATCGGTCGGTCCGATCTGCTGATATTCATTGAATATTCCATGGAAATTTCGAGACCGTCTCGCGATGATCGGTTTGCGCCATACACATTGCCTACTTGCTTTCAAAGCGAAAAATTATATATACATGTCTTCTCGCGTGGAGAAAAAAATGCGTCGACGGTTCTTGCATGATTCTTGTAAATGTTTTTATGCGACTTCGAGCCACACATCGATCACATTGCGCGGTGCTTATTGAAGTTAATAAAGCTGACTATCTCGAAAGCAAAAAAACGAGATGTTTTGCATATACTTATAAGGAATTTTTACGATAAATATTTTTTCAATATGTATTGTTTTTTTTTTATACATATCATATTTAAGCCTTTATTACTCCCGTGGGATGTCCAACATATCCCGGCCTTGTAAATTCGCTAAATGTATAAATGCCATTTTCAATTTTTTTGTATTTATCTTTATTTAAAGAATATATAGAACATTATCAATCTTTATTTCATTATAAATTATCAAAAAAAAAAATAATAATTGAAATATGTTAGAATATCAAAAACACTGCACGCAAATAATTATGTTAAAAAACTTTTACGCGAGTTAATGTAGAGTTAATGTATTTATTTAATAATTTTTTTTCTCGTAACTTTATAGAAGTTTGTATTTCGAAAATTCTATTTGGTATTTTTTAATGAATTTTTCGACAGACATACTTCATTAGATCTATTGATTTTTAAAAGGAGGAGTCGCGCTGTTAAAGAATATCAAACATTAAAAGGGAAATTTCTTGATTGCTATATCAAACATTTTGTCTGTGACCAGGCTTTAACAGTCGGTCAAGAGAGATCAGAAATTACAGGCTTGTGTGGTATAAGTCGCATTGCAAATGATAATTATCGAATGTTGCTGAGCGGTAGTAAATTACTGTCGACGACGAGGGTCGTCCGGCACGTAAGAATTTCGCAGTGAAAATCGTTTTACAACGCGTAATCATTCAAAGCTGAAGATCATAGTACATGCTTTAAGTAATATTATCGGAAAAGCAGTTTGTTCCGCACGATCGAGCATTGGCGGACGTTGTCGAGACTTAAGTCGTTAGTTTCCCGTCTCCGATTGGCTCTTACAGCTGGCGACGCGATCGATTTCTATCCGTATAGTCATAAAAAAATCTCTCAAGAAATTCATCTTCGTCGAGCTCGATGGCGTCCGTAAAATATTTTACAAGACTGTGACTGCTCGCGACGTAATGTTGTTTTTGCGTTTCGCCAGACGTGCTAATATTTAGAAAGAAAAATTTATCAAGATATGTGTAACGATAACATATGTGTGATATCGCTGTATTTGTTGAACAGTTACATCTTTTGCGCGAGTTTACATAATCAATTTAATAAAATATATAGGAAAAGCATCTTCAATTTTCTGAATTAGGACTGCTAAGGATGATATAAGGTAGGTCGTCTATTATGGGATAGGTTCCCAATATGAGATAGCAGAATTTCTGCTAAACTAATAACCGCATGTGATGTTGATTTTATTATGAATTTGTTATTCATAGAGCGAAACATATTTAGTAAGAAACTCATTATTAGATCAAGCGTGTAGTAGTTGTGAAAAAAGATTTTTGAAATTGGATGTTATCGAATTTTATTGAGGTTAGTCTTCAAATTGTTTTATTATATAATAAATAAATATTTGGTAATAAATGGTAATTATCTGTTATTAATAGTAATTATCTATTATACAATGTTAGAGGTATACAATTAAGGTTGTATTAATAGGAAAACACGTGATATAATAATTTGTTTAACTGTAAAAATTAGATTTGGTGATCATGAAACAGCAAGGCGTGGAAGTTGTAATATGAGATACTTAAAGTATTCCTAGCAATATGTGAGAGCATCTAAACGATTCAATATCTCAAAGCAATATTATCGAATTCAATATTATTGAATGAAATGTTAAAAATTGATTGATTCTATTGTTAAGATTACTCACACACCACACACACACACACACACACACACACACACACATACACACACACACACACACACATATACACATATTCACACACATCAAAAAATTATATAATTATTACGTATAAATTCATAAAATCAAATTCTTCGTTCCTACTTGTATGTATAATAATATAATAAAAGCATGTATAAAAAACTTATCTTTATTTTTTCCTTAGTTTTGTATGAGATATCACTTACAAGAAAACCCTTATATCTCATATTAGAAACCCATTTTTTGAATGAGCAAAATCAGCACTTTCGATAAAAAATTTCACATACAACAAAGTATAATTACTACCGATCGCTAATTTTAGGTGGCTAAATCTTAAATATATTTCTCATAAAATTGACACGAAAATAGGAGTTAAGATTGCAAATTAAATAAATTACAAATTTTAAAAAAAAGGTATCTCATATTAGGCGACTTTACGTACGCAGCTAGTTGACATTTTAATACCCCGTAATATTACACGAATGAGCTTTATTCATTTTTGTTAAATTAAACTTTCAAGTAGACTTTTAGAGAACAAATGGAAAATTCTTGACGCATAAAGAAACAGAAAAAAAAAAGAGAAAAATACATGAAAAATACGAGCTTGTAAAAAAAAAACGAATAAAGCTCACTCATCGGGATATCGAGACGTCGGCTGGCTGCACTAAACGTACGCATATCATCCTTGGCAGTTTTCTCCTCCTCAGGAATGACTGAGGTAACGAACAGCCGGCAGTCTAATTACTTAAGCGAGGCAGTCTTGCAGTCAAGCGCAGGAAACACGCGCTGGGAGAAGAGCTTCTCGTGCTCCCCCAGACTCCTCTCTCTTCTCATTCTCGCCCTTTCCTACTTACGGTAATCCCTCTCCAAAGACTTGAGGGTAAAACCAATAATGCTAAGACGCCCTTCTCTCGCTAAGCACAACCCCAAAAGTACCGCGGCGGAATATCCGGCGACGTGCGGCCTCGGAGAAACACTAATTTCCTTGTCTCACTCCTAGAGATAGACGTCAGCTCGTAGCTCGGTCTGTCAGTTTAATTACATTTTTTCTTCCGCTGCACAATCGTGCACGCGCACGAGGACGCGACTATGTAGCGACATGACATTTACATTGCTAATCAGTTCAGCTGTTACGCAGAAAACGCATTGAGTGATTTAAACAAACATTACTGATTACTCATTTGCATGTGAATAATTTTATTGTAAAATATGAGACAGGACTCGATCTCCGGACGTGGAAAAGAATGAAAAAGTGTATCGTTAAAATTCACGCCGCGCATAGCGAGCATCAATGTAAAGGATAAAGTTATAAGATTGCTCGTCTCCATCGGCGATCGACCGCACTACTAATTTTCTTGTTCTATTCTTGAGATAGATGTCAGCTACTGGCCTCTAGTTTCTCCTTCAGGCGATTCCCGCGTAACGAATAGCAGTCGCTATTCTAGTAATCGCCCTTTCAGTCCGCTGTTCGACTTGCTCGTCACGTTGCTTTTAATTACATCCGTATCGGCAGAAACGCGAAGAAGGCGCAGTAGAGGATAAAAAGAGAGTGTGGTGTCTAGAATTCGTTAAAAATGATCTGTAAATTAGTAGGATTCCGCTCGGAGCAAATGGCCGACGATCGTGTTCGGAGAGCGAATTGCGTTGTTCCGCGTGCACGTTAAATTTAAAGCAATATTTTAAAGCTCCCGTTTATTCGCCACTACTATTTCAGAATGTAACATCCGAAACGAGAAAATGCACGGTAAAAATTCTTACAAAATAATATATATTTCAATATTATCGACTTTTAAAATATAAAATCTCCTTTTGTTTCGTTAATTCCAAAATAATCGTATATTTGAAAAATGAACTATGCGTAATCAAAAAACGAAAGCTATATTTACAACTATAATAAATAAATTGTCAAGTTAATAACATATGTATAAAAATAAATATAATTTAATTTCTCCTTGAAAATAGTTTTCGGTATATTTCGTAAACGCGACGTGACAAAATATCGTGAAATTAACAGCAGACATTTTAGATAAATTAAAATGTATTAGGTGTTGGAATTAATTCGTAGCGTTTTTTAATGAAAGAATGTTATTTATTTCACATGAGCATTAAAAAATACATTAATGAAAGTACTTCCCATCACTTGTAAAACGCTACGAATTAATTCCAACACCTAATAATCGTCCTGTCTTTCAATCAATTTGTAGAGACAGACTTTATTATCCTCAAAGCGAGAAATCTGAATGTAGAAAGCTGAACTGCAATTTCATTAGGCAGAATTAGAAAGTACGAAAAACAATACGAGACAGGAATATTTCAGAATTCAGAGTTGTAAACTAATAATAATCGTAAACTCTTTAACGGCGCAGCTTTCGCTCGAAGTCTCGCGCCTTTCTTCCTTTACCCGCGGATCTTTACGTCTCAAACGTCACTCGTGACGCGATAATTACAGTGTTTATGAACGAAGCTCTCCGTATAGAGCGTGTCGACGACACAATGAGAGTCGGCAATCATCCTGGATGATGCACCCGGACGGGTAAACGAGTCTCTCGGTGTCGGTTAGTTGCGCTTCGGTCTCGCTTTCAGATAGACCATGCGCGATTATAAGTGGCCGTAGGCGAGATAAGTCGTACACTCACGAATTGCATCGTCCTCGATATGTAAAGCGATCTACCTCGCTTACTAAAGTGCCACTCGGCCTCTCTCATTGCCTCGCGTACCTATCTCTTTTTATTGTTAGCTTTTTATTGTTTGCGCGGAACATTGATACGGAACGTCGCCGGAAGGGAAACAGCGAGCGCAAAGTTGAGAGCGTGTTAATCTTGTCTTTGCGCAATTTATCAGGACGATCTGCGCGAAATGATGCGAGTGACAGAGGCTGCGCTTGATGTAAAAAGTTGTCGGGATAAAAACCTGCGTGTTGGTTTCGGTCGTTTAAGTATTCATGACTAAAGGCGGTCCTCTCCTTCTCCTTCCTCTTCCTTCTTCCGTCAACTGATGTCACCCGGCGATTATGGTGGTGGACTAGCATTGACAACTTAATGATAAGTTTTTGTCGTGCAAAAGACGCAATAAGTGATTATTACATTTTAATGAAGCACGCTTGATCGAGATTTAGTTTAACCAACGTTTTTTTTTTTTTTTGCAATCCCACAATTGCGAATGTAATTTCGACAATCTTACCTCGTTATCATTGTAGACAGGATATTAAATAAGACAATTTTTGTCGTTTTGAAACAGGTTGTGTCGCAAATGTAAAACGCTTTAATTAAGTGAAGAAAAATCTTGTTCACCTTCGCTACAAACATTGAAATTGTCCGGTAAATCAGCATTGCGTTAAATCAGCATTGCTGAAATTTATCACCGATAATTATGATATCCTCGTTAAAAGGCGGTGAGTTGATACGTTAATAGAATGATACGAAGGAAGAGGACACTGTCGTTAAGTCGTTAAGGCCATTGCCTCGATGCAGTTGGCAAAGACGCACTTCACTCAATTTTCACCAATTAGACCCGCAAGCCCGATGACGATCCTAATTATACAAATAAAAATGCTCTCCACTGTAACTATATTAACTCCAGATAATTTTGCAAGGAAGATTTTGAATTGTCTTTCCTTTGTTTCGGTAGTCTACAATTTATCTTTATGTTCTACTATTACGACATTCCAAGCAATCATACTTCTAAACATCCTTTAATCTGATACAACACGATAATTTATAACAGCAAAAAAACGGCTTCAAGAGAAACATAATAAATGTGAAGTATATCGGATAATGACAGGAGAAGAATCAAAGTGAATATAAAGATTGGCCGATCAAGCGAGTCGCGTTCTCGTCGCGAATCGGAATGGATCGATCAAGCGATCGCGGTTGCGGACAGTTGCGAGAGCCGATCGACTTGTCCTTTCCGTGAATCTGATCGTCTCGTCCTTGTGCGGGTACGTGTATCGGGATATGTAGGAACGAGCCGCTTGAGTTATGACTACGGCCATTACTTGGGACAAACGAGGCTAAGCGTGTCGACACGGAGTCGAGCGGGCAGGTCTCTTCGATTCTCCCGAGTCATTCTCGACTCTCGAGAATTACAAATGCCTCCTCTCTCTCTCTCTCTCTCTTTCTGTCTTGAGTCATGAGCCTTCAGCATGCTCGCAACTCCCGATTGACAGTTTTAAGGCCCAACGCTGAGCTCCGCATCAGCACTCGTTATCCAGGACGCAGATTCCGCATAGACAGTTTATGTATTTCCTACGTTCGCCGAGCAAATATATGATATCGCGAGCGGCATAGCGATACCCTGTAACCCACATTTTCGAATTATTTATGTCGCAAGGTTTTTGCGATCCACGGCTGTCTTCGCTTCATGCGTCAATGCCGATGGTATTTCAGAAGTATGGACGGCCGGGGGTATAAAATGAAACGCGACGAAAAAGGTTGTTTATGACGGTACGATTCTAAGGAGGACTAATTTCTCTCTTTCTAAAACTGAAAAAGTTTTATATCAAATAAATTCCACGCACGTACAAAGAAAATAGATCGAGAGAGAAGCAAAAGCTTGAAAGTCAGCTAATACGGAGAAGTAAATGTTCTTAAGAAGTATAAAAAAAAAAAAAATTAGCGTCTCTTCAAGTCATCATATTCATCGCAATGTATTGCGAAAGCTGTAAATTAATCTGTATTAATTTATTTACGTAATTACAGGGCGAATCACAAAGAGGTGAAAGTCGTCTTACATTTCGATGGAATCAATCTGATTGCAAACCACTGGATATCCATACGCGTCATTGAGATATCGATTTAACGCAGACATGCCCAGTGATCGAGCACGGGACAAGCTTACACAATAAGCGTATTAATGGCTTCGTTCAGAAAAGCTCACGTTCCCCGATGCCATTTCGTCATTAGTCTCGTCTAGCCCAAGTACGGCTCGTAACCGCCGTGGGTCGTTACTTACTTCGTCCTGAGAACAAAAAAGAAAAAACACACCGATTAAAACTCCTGTCTTTCCGAACAACTTCATCAAATGCATTTCATTATTTTACATTTATCCATTTCAGTCTTTTGTGCACACAATGTCGCTCGTTAATACATCTTATATATAAACATTGTTAATAAAATGCAAATACAGTCAAACATCAGTATTATTACAATTAAACAAACTCTAAGATTTAAAACAATTGTAGAATAAACATCCATCTATATACTGCAGTTTCAGTTTTCATCTTGTTGAACCGTGACATGATTTTTCAGGCAAACAATACTTACTTATCAATGTTAGAAATTTTTTATTTGTTTGAGACATTAGATATAAATATCGTTTTTACTAACAAATGGATGGTTTCCCATATCGAGGTTAGCTGGATCTCTTATGAGATCTTCGTTAAGGTGTTTTTGAGTTAACCCACAGAATTATACGAAAAGTAATCATTGGATTCGCGACTATATCCATAACCATAAATAATGATCACTGATTGGTCACTGGTCGATCGTTACTCGAGTGTACGTGACTACGTTTACGTTTCCATGGGTCGTTAACTTGTTTCCATTAAGGCGCGGTCTTGTCTGCCTCTTTTCGCATACGTTTCTTTACGTCGATTAACTATCATCCGATTTTAGACGCGCGGCATGTGTATCTTTACATTACGGCGATTAAGCGCCATTCCGAATGCGACCGGTATTTCTTAAGTGATTCTTCAGTATAAAACGCTAGTACGTCATGTCTTCAAGCTTCTATATGGGTAGAAATATTTTCTGGCGCAATCATTGTGTTGTTACGTAACTCTAGTCACGTACTTTTTCATGATGGATTTAATGCCACGAGTTAAACAGTCATTTAAAAGTCAGACAGTTATTTAAAAGTCTGATTTTCAAATGTATATTTTAAAAGGTTCATTCAAGATTTAAAAAAGAAATTGAAATTTTATACAATATTGTACCTAATCGTTCTTTTTATTTGACGGATTTAACAAAACAATTATTTAGAAATTCAATTATACGTTCAAAAAAATCTAAATATACATTTTAAAAGATTTATTTTAGATTTAAAAAAAATTGAGGTCCAAGATTAAAAAAAAAAAAATTAAATCTAGAGTTTGAGAAGGATCTATCTTTCAGAGTTAATTCTCTCTCGAAGGAGTACAACTTACGATAATAAGCAATCAAAAATTATGAGACATACGCGAGTAATGCGTAGCTCGAAGAGACGATTAATAGCTTCATTGCATCCTACGCTGTCGATGCAGAAGTACCGGTTTTACCAACAAGACCGCCCCTTTCTTATTCCTCTTGATCCTTTCATTTGCTTTCGATCTTTCTCTTCCTTCCTGACATCGTCACTTATTCTTTTCGCAAAGCAATCAGGTATGTAATAAGCAACAATAAATTTTATGCATTCTCCACATATCATCAATTGCAGCTAATCATTACCTTTCATAAATCTATAATTAGTTGCATCAATATTTTTACGAATTGCGTCAAAACGTATACTTTGCGTATACTTTACATTCGTGCGATTATACAATTTCTCGAGCTGTATTGATTAGCATCGTACAAAAAGGATCGTACAAAATGTCTCTTTACTTTGGATCGCGGATGAAAGGGTTTAGAAAGCGGCGATCTGTCCTGGATCCCAATCGCCAACGTGGCGCAAAGCAGGAACTATAATCTCCCAACGTCTTTCGCCATTTAGTTTTCGTGTAGCCTCGATGTTATTTCGCGGAGGAAAGTCACTTTGCAAGGATCATTGCGCTCCAACGCGCAGTCACGATCGCCGTATTGCTACACATCGTCATGTCTTATATGTTGTAGGCGTGACCGGCACTGTTGAGATCTTTATCGCTTTGTCATTATTATTACGTTACATATCGAGATTACATCGGTCCCCTTCCCCGATTAGGAGAGTGGTATACATCCAGTTAACGAGAGACATACGACTCCGTAAGTTGGTTGCTGGCGAAACAAAACCACCACGACGACGCGCGCGACGTACATTGTTCTCTCACGTCGTGGAAGGACTTGATATGCGCTCGCGCAGTTATTAATTATTACATTGAGCGTACCGAGTTATCGTGCAAATCGTCGATCGTCACGGCGATCGTATCTAGTCTTTCGATGGAAATATGCAGAGGAATTCGAGACTCCGGTAGCTGATTCGCGTCAACAAGCAGCCATATATAATAGGCATCTTTGATTCATTGCAAAATATATCGAGGTTTGATGAAGAGGATGCGCCTCGATAAAGTTATCGCCTCACAAAGCAAAAATATATCTCAATAAAATTTCTCTTTTATATACATACATAAACAATCAATATTCTTCTTACGCTCGTAATATTATAACACATTTACGACAAAGACGAATTTAATCGGCATGAAAATCCTTGAGAAATACGCAGCAAATATGAATAGAGTAAGAAGGAAAAGAGAGAAGATTATGTAAAATTTATTAAACATGACAAGTAAATAGATTTATACCGATATGCATGATTTAATTTTGAGGCCATATGATTATTGATTTATAAGGCTATCATCTTACAAGAAAATTATTAACGTTTTCATTCGAGTTATAAACGAGATATCGTAACTTTATGCTGAATAATGCCGTTCTATTCCTAGATATTCTGGACGCTGACGTAATGACGATTAATTGAATTAAAAGCAAGACGTACAGATTCGAGCTTCGTTCGCGGATGATTCGCGACTGGCGCAACGCGTGAGTGAGTTACGATGTCGATGCACATCGATGCCGCTTAAATATCATTAATCAATGAATTCACAGCGTCGACCGAAGAGGAATCTATTTCCAGCGAACTAACCATCATCAATGGCAATTACGGCATCTCATAAAACGACGATATGATTCTACACAGTATATTTTAAAAGACATCCTGAGAACATCCTCTGGACGTCCTTAAGGCGTCCCTTGAAGGTCTGTGCTACGTCGAATCATTTCGTCTCGCATCTTTCCCCACGTCTTTTCCCACGTCTTTTCCACGCATCGGCGTTTCGCGCGAACTGCTCGCACGTGTTGCACATCGCATCGGTACAGACTACAATCGCGCGTGTTCCGGCTATAGAATCGCGCGTATACCACGATTTAACGAGCAGTTGGCTCTTATTACCAGTTGGCGCGCCGCGCCGTCTCCGTAGATATACATCTCGTAATCAGATACTACTAACTCGCTCGCGATCGCTCGCGATCACGTAAGCCCCGCGGATCCCATTATATGCCGGCGAGAAGCCGACCTCATAATGCGAGCTACTTTGGCACTTTAAACTTCGATTACTTCGCGACAGTCTATACCATCTCTTCTGATCGTATTGACATCCACAGGACTTGCTCCGAGAGACAAGTGCTGATAATTGCGAGTGAAAAAGAAAAAAGGTATCATCTCTTGGAGATTTCGTTGTCACGTCAATTTAAAGATCTCTCTGGAGCTGACAGTGGGTTTATTAAACCCATTTAATCATAATTCTTTTTGTCAAAAATATCACAATTTAATTTTTTTTATATTACATTTGCAAATTTGGATTATTCTCTCATTAAGATACATTTAATTATTATTATTACACATTTTATTAAATAAATCAATTATTTAATATTTAACTAAAATTAGGGCTAAATTAAATTTAATTATAAAAAACCTAGATATCTTTAAAATTGACTGGAATATCTCCACTAATAATTTATTTTTAATAATTATTACATATTAATTAACGTAAAATTAAATTTTTATTATTAGCTCTTTTAAATTCGAGAAATTTAATAAATTTATAAATTATATTTTAATAAATCCTGCATACAAAAGGTACACTCGATTAAAATTACTTTTATCTAATTAAGATATATTTAATATTCATTCTTTTTGATTTCTTGAAATTATTTAGTGCCTCGACTAGATCGTTCGAAACCTGAAGCGAAAAAAAATTTTCAATAACTATGCAATCTATACCATTGATATTACGAGGTTCCAAATTTTAGGTAAAAAAAGGACATTGAATCTTTCTCTATCAGTTGTCGTAAAGTAGAGGTTCACTTGCACATTCTGTACTTCAACAGAATCAGATAAATGTACGTAGTTTTCACAGAGAATTAATTAAATGGATCCTACAGACCCAGCCATTAACTGTGTTATAGATTTTGGCGTCAGCTCGGAAGGATTCAAAGTTCATTGCTTCGCGCTAAACGTACACGAAACGTGATACTTATCGGAGTTACCATTTCGTCGTACGTGATTTGTTATCTTGTTGCTCGTGCGAAGATAAGATGTTAAAGGGACGGTGAAGTAGAGACGTAATCCGTTTCGCACGCGGTTTCCTTCTGACGCGCGAAAGGTCGCGCGCGTTAACACGCGACGCGCAGTTCCGTGCGCGTTTTCGCGTACACGCTCCACCGTGTTATTTATCCGCGCGCACGTTGCACGTTTGTTCCACCTTATTTTCAAATGCACGACATTATCTCGCCTCGTTGAGCGCGACGGGATAAGCGCGCGTGAGGAACACCGTGATTATCTGCGCTACCACGGATTAGGTATATTCCTCTTGGCGATTTTCTTGAATGCACGTTTGATATTTAACTCGCGAGATTCGTTCTAAAATAGATAATATTAACGTCGCTGACTGATTTATGGAAAATGATTAAATCGAAAGACGGCTTCCCTCCTTATATTTTCTCTACTATCGCAATAAATCTCTTTATTTCTCACGATTATCGAAAGCTCGCTTGAGTATCTACCGAAGAGAAATTCTCTTTTATTCTTACAGTTTGCAATCACTTAATTGTTATGAATTATTATACAAACGTTATATAAATGTTATAATTGCCATTTCTCCTGGATCTAAATTTAAATCATGTCAATTATTACTTCTATTTGAAGTAAATATCATATTGCCGCTCCTATTCGAGATTGCTCGTAGATCTCTTCTCAACAGATACTGCAACAGACATTTTAATCGCCCCTCT